ACTGGTGATGACTCCTGATGTCTCTTTCAAAATTGTCATATTTGGACAGACTGTAAAAGAATATTACACATATCTCTTGGAGTATATTTCTTTTAACGCCTTAATATATTGGTAAAGCAGATCTTCCACTCCCCCCCCCCCCCCCCTTTCCCTGATTAATATTTTTAAGGGGACTTCTTTTCTACCGTCTCAATATCCCAGAATCCAACTGAAAACGGCTTACTGTAATAGTATTTGCTTGAAATAGTAAGATAGATATTGTTGTCACGCTTGACTCATAAGGCGGCTTTTAAGCCCCCTACAAAATACAAAATACAAAATACTGCCTGCTAACATAACATCTTGTAGTATATGTGAATATTTAGATCTACCGTCCCCACCCCCCATGTTTGTATTATCGAGCATGCGCTCTGACTGTTATGATGATTGAATACACACATTGTTGTCCCCAGAGCCTGTCGTTTCTTGGTCACGTGGTCTTGAAACGAGGGGCCAAAGTAAGCCGAGTGGCAGCAATGGTGTGTGTGTTGCTGGTTAAATCCGATTCAATCCTTGGTTAAATCCGCAAGGCACTATATTTTGGCGACGAGGACGGTCATTTGAAGAAGTTTATTCGAGATGGCAAGCGTATATTTAAGCGATGCACAAGGATTAAAGCCGTTTGACTGTTCAGAAACAGCTGGTATTTCCGCACGCTGGGAAAGATGGCTTTGAGCTCTTGAATTGTTTGCGACGGGAAAAGGAGTCAAAAATGTCGATCAGAAGAAGGCTTTATTGCTGCACACTGCCGGATTAAATGTGCAAGATATTTATTTCACTTTGACCGAAGAAGGAGGATCAGATATCTATCAGAAAGCAATGGCGACCTTGAATAAATATTTCAAACCGCAAGCGAATGTTCCGTATGAAAGGCTTTGTTTTCGCGAAACACGTCAACTGGCAAACGAAACCGTCGAACAGTTTCTTACCAGACTGAGACAAAAACCCAAACCTGCAACTGCAACTGAAACTGAAACTGCAACTGTGGATGAGCAAATTCGTGATCAAGTGATGAGCAAATGCTTGTCGCACGAACTTCGTCGGAAGTTACCTCGAAAGGGTCGAAACTTGACACTGCCACAATTAAGAGAAATTGTTCGTTCTATGGTGGCATCTGAAAAACAGACCCGTTCATTTGAAGGAGGAAGTGGTGAGGTCCGTAGTGAAGTGAATAGTGTCAGCGGAAAGACGAAATACGAAGGGGATGCGAGTGCAAGAAAGGTAAAATGTTTTTTGTTGTGGATATACGATCGTCGTTGTCCAGCGAGAGGGAAACACTGCAGGAATTGTAATGGATCAGGACATTTTGAGGCTGTGTGTAAACTCAAGAGAAGCAAACGAGTGGTCGAGGAGCTGGAGGGCCGCGTATACCAGACGTCGAAAAGAAGGGAGGTGCAGCTCACCATGTAAGGCAGGTAGAAACTGAAGTTACTCAGGTAGATTATTGTGAATATGCTTTTGGCATTTTAGCTGATTCTAATGTTTCAAGTGATGGGAAAATTCCTGTGAAGATAGGAGGTTTACCAGTAACAATGATTATTGATTCTGGTGCTAGTTGCAATGTCATAGGTCGTAATGTATGGGAATATCTGAAAGCAAATAAGGTTGCATGTGTGTCGACTAAGGCTTCAAAGAAGCTGTATGCATATGGTAGTAGTCAGCCACTAAAAGTTGCAGGCATGTTTACCGCAGAAGTGTCTGTTAGAGAGAGTGTGTTAAGTGGGGCCGAATTTGTTGTCATTCAAAATGAGGGACACGCCCTCCATGGGCAGGAAATTGTCATTTCTCTAGGAGTTTTGACGCTGGGAGCTCACGTGAATTCACTAGAGGTTTCTATGGATGGAGAAAAAGAGGAGTCCAGTATTTTTGAAAAGTTCCCGGGATGTTGTGAAAGTATTGGCAAAATGAAAAATTTCCAGCTAATAGTCCCCAATGACCCAGAGGTACAGCCTGTGGCACAACCAATTAGGCGGGTCCCTTACCACTTGCGTGATAAACTGAGTACCAAACTGGATGAACTTGTGGAACTTGACATCATTGAAAAAGTGAATGGATCAAGCTCGTGGGTCTCACCAGTGACAGTGGTTCCCAAGCACCCAGGTGATATTCGTTTGCAAGTGGATATGCGACAAGCCAACATGGCAGTAAAACGAGAGCGTTTCCCAATACCCACCATTGACGAAGTTTTACAAGATCTGAACCAGAGCAAGTTCTTTAGCAAGTTGGATCTTACCTCCGCCTATCATCAGATAGAACTGTCACCCGAATCAAGGGATATCACTACATTTGGCACACACAAGGGACTACCGGTACAAACGACTCATGTTCGGTATAAGTTGTGCGCCTGAAATGTACCAGGGGGTACTTCACCAAGTCCTGCAAGAGTGTGACGGAGCTCATAATATTCTTTATGATGTAATAGTACATGCACCCACTGAGGAGGAACATGACAAAAGATTTGACAATGCGGTCCGAGAACTGAGCAGCAGGGGGTTGACACTGAACCGAGACAAGTGTCAGTTGATGTCAGATGTCACATTTGTAGTTCATGGGTTATGTTTTGTCGGCACGTGGAATTGGGCCAGCAGATGTTAAAGTAAAGGCTGTTGTTGATGCCTGTGAACCGACGAATACGTGGAAGAACGAAATAATAATAATAATAATAATAATAATAATAATAATTTTATTTATATAGCGCTAAAATCCAATAATTGTCCAAAGCAACAGCAATCATTTGATGAGTTAAAGAAGCGACTTTCCAGTGCAGAGACACTTGCATACTTTGATAAGAATGCACCAGCTAAGGTGATCGCAGACGCAAGCCATGTAGGCTTAGGAGCCTTGCTAGTCCAAGAGCAAGGAGAAGAACTGCGAGTTATTAGTTATGCAAGCCGCAGCCTGTACTTAAGAACCGACAATGGTCCGCATTTTACAAGTGAACGTTTTACGAAGTAATTGGAGGAAAACGGAATTGAACATAAACGAACCGCACTCTTATGGCCACAAGCCAATGGTGAAAAAGAAAAACAAAACCACAGTATCCTGAAGCGCCTTCGTATCGCTCAAGCTCTGGGTCGCAACTGGAAATCAGAGATGGAAAAATTCTTAATGACGTATCGCAGTACTCCACATTCTACTACTGGGGCTAGCCCGGCAGAACTATTATTTAGAAGACGTATCAAGACCAAACTACCCCATCTTCAATAGTTCAGCATCGAAGATGAGGTTCGAGATCGCGAAAGTGAGAGAAAAGCAAAGGGAAAGGTGTATGCAGACTGCCAAAGGAATGCACGTGAAAGTGAGATTCGAGAAGGTGATAAGATGTTACTGAGGCAGGAGAAAGAGAACAAACTGTCAACGCCATACAAACAGTCTCCCTTTACAGAATGTAACCCATGTGAAGAAGTATTTGGAGCGAGATTATAATGTATTACCAGCCACTAGTAAGTCAACAGATGCTTCAGAGGCTCAGAGAGCAACACAAAGTTTATCAAACCAAGAGTCCAGAGAAACTGTAAATGTTTCCTCTGAGAGAGCAAGTGAGGACGGCCCATTGGAGTACACACGATCAGATGATGCTACTATGGAGCAAAGAGATTCTGTCACCTTGCGTCCAACAAGAGTCAAAAGATTACCATCTAAATTTATTCAGCTTGATTCAGAGCAGAACTTTAAGACTTTCAGAACAGGAACTCTGAACTGAACTTGAACCGTTTCTTATGTTTTGTTATATTTAGACTGAAACCACTTTGGAGTGTTCAGTCGTATGAGGATTTCTGTAGGGCACTCAGAGACATTTATATGCATTGTTAGCTAGGCTTTATTTTCTATTCGTGTTCTTTTAACCCAACAAGTAATTCGAAGAAGGGAGGAACGTAGTATATGTGAATATATGGGTCTACCGTCCCCACCCCCCATGTTTTTATAATCGAGCATGCGCTCTGACTGTAATATGATGACTGAATACACATGTTTGCACGATGGTGTGTGTGTTGGTGATTAAATCCGATTCAATCCTTGCTGAAATCCGTAAGACACTACACATCTTGCTTCCTGCCATCGATTACGAATACTACTACAACACTTTTTTTCCACCACGAGTTTATTTTCTCCCGTAGTTCTTGGTAATTTTAAGGCGTCAAGCCACGGTATTTTCGGTAATTTAATCCTTCTTTGTTAACTCTGAACTTTAAACTTCAAATTGGCGAAAGAGTCCTCTTTGGCTGACAAAATTTTCATCTCCACGTAGCAACTGATAATTCTCGAGCTTCATACTTCCGTACAAATAAAGACAAACTTGAAACAAACTTGTTCTTTAAATTTAGTTGAATGCAATATCCTGTTTAGCCGGTTTTACCCAATCGTGTTCCCTTTGGCATTTAGTTATTCCTCTTTTGTTCTTCCACATTTTCAAGCAGTAATGCGTTAAAATTTTCTGAGTCAATTTTTTTATTTGCCTGGTAAGTACCGAAGTTGCCTGAATAAGTGTGAGATCGATCTAGCTCCATTTGTTTGTTTCTTCATGGCTGTTGTTTCCCTCCATGTAAGGTAATCCGAATACCAGAATCGGAAGAAAAATGTGGGATCATTTTACGTTTCTGGCAAACTGCTCTCTAACCCCTCCCCTGAGCCACATTTTGCCCTAAGTTAGAAGTAAGTTTTAATGTCGGCTTAGGGGAGGGGTAGGTGGGCAGTTTCCCAGAAATGTAAAATGATCCAAAATGTGCTTGTGGAATGCGGAATCCTGGAATTTGGAATCTGTGATTCTACTCGAGAAACCAGACTCCTACTTATAATTGGAATCTGCAATCTAAATGGCACTGACAACCGGAATCGAGAATCCACAGCATGGAATTCAGAATTCAAGAGTTTCTTGGTTCACGTTTTATGGAACGAGTTGTTGTTGTTGATGTATTTTTGTAATATTAACTCAGTCATTGATGTCTTATGAATAATGTATATCACGTACCTGAACTATAAGAGATAGCCGTGTAAGCTGCAATAAACCCTGGGTATTGACTGTTGAGAGACGTGAATATGACTTGAACGGAATTCCCTTCCGAGTACACTGGATAAGGAAGAGACTGACCGCACAGCATGAACGGTTGATACCCGTCATCTGAAGCAACATTTGTGACTGTAACACGGGCTCCTGGAGCATCATAATAGCAGGGACTGTACTGATTTGGCTCCAATCGAAAATAGAAGAAGCTAAGTTTAATGATGTACCCACTAGGAACTGTGATATTCCAGGTACATCTGCTGTATTGAGGGTAGTTACTCGGAAATTTTGGAGTTGAAAAGAATCCACTGAAGCCATTTAGATATTCGCCAGAGATACAAGCTGCAATAAGGGGAAATAAACTATGATTTAGCCTTATAGTACAAAATCAAAGAGTAACCTGTCTGTGAACCGAAAAAAACAAAACAAAACAACAAAACTCAATCGGAAGCGTTGCAATAGACAAAGTTAAATAATAGGAGATTTGCTACCAAGCACTTTTAACATCATGAAAATGAAAATTGTTGGTATTTCACCGACATTCTAGGGGCTGTCGACATATTCACTTTTCCCCCGCTTAACGTCAACTGCACGCTTAGGGGGGGAGGGAGTAAGGCAGTGGACGTTAGTGCGGGGCATTTTTGGACAAAAGCAAACTGATGCATTTTCATAAATTATACGTCGTGTGGAACGGCGCTCGTGACATAATTAAAGAGAAAGCAGGACCAATTTTCAACACTGGATTTTTCAACTTTCTTAAACCACGTTCCAATATGTAGCCTTTCTGGATTTTCATCGTGAGAACTCTTAAGCTGACTTTCTTCCAATGAGAGGATTTCTTCTTCTCCTTCTTTTGCAGCTATATAGGTTTCCACTGCAGCTGAATCTTTACGAAGCTCTTTCCATTTTTCTTGTGCTGATCGAACAACACTTTCCCTCGAGGCTTGACCTTTGTTTCTCCTTACAAAACGGTCTATAACCTTTTCATATTTTGATTTTGGGTCTTTGTATATTAAGTTCCCTGCACGTTTATTATCTTTTGCAGTTGTTCCGAACAGGGTAAGTTGCACGTGCTTTCAGAGTAACGAAAGAGTAACACATAAGTGAATTAGAAAATGGAATGCCGCTGGCCAGTAGGTTTAGTATGTTGTTTAATAACATGGCGGCCGACTTGGCGGTCTTGTACCAGCGATTCCTCTGAATACTGCAGTGTAGTAGGGAATTAAAAGCATTGACAGGAAAAAGCAGTTATGTAGATTTTGCAAGAAAACAGGTACGACAAAGCATAATTCGATGTATGAAGTTTATACCACGTTTTAAAACAGTAAATCGGTGACATCTTCACGTAAAAAGTGCATGTCAGTATTCGTACTGGAATGCAGTGATTTTTGGGGCAGCAAAATTTCAAGTGGACGTTAAGGAGGGGGGGGGAGGGGGGGTCTGACCTAAACGTCCAGCTGACGTTAAGCGGGGGAAAAGTGAATATGTCGACGGCCCCTTAGTTATTTGTTGTTTTACCCCGTAAAGTATTTGAATGTTTCAGTTGCTATAAGCTCGTCATAAGGCAATAATATTTTATGTAACTTGCTTGAAAATTGATCGCCTGCACATAAACCTTTAACTTTGCGTTTAAAGCCGATTTCTAACAACTTACCGGTGGTTGTTGCATTATATTTCACTTTAATGTAAGTTGCCTTAAATCCACTGTACTGCCAGTAAGTATCACTATAAGAAACAAACGTCACCCTCAGAACATCTTTTGCTGAATGGTATACTATCCCACTGTCTTTATCTGATCTACATCTTCGCCTGCCTGAGATGCCATCAGAGGATAAGCCATTTTGTATTTGCAGATAGTCACACGTACAAGATGAACCAAAGTCCCAAATATGAATGTCTTCAATGACCAACACAATGCGTTCTCCTTTGCTTGCTGTAATTTTCCAGCTGCATTTTTCGTTAGAAGGGTAAAGCCTTGGATAGTAAGGACTGGTAAGAATTCCTGAAGTCTCATTCAAGGTTGCCATCTTGGGACAGACTGCAGCAATATAAATGGACTGTATGTTATAAATCGTGCCATGTATTTGTGCAACCCGCGTTTTTCTTGGGGGGAAATCGGGCAAGAAATGGCGTGGCAAAGTCGTCGCGTTCAAAAACCTGTTTACTCTATTAGAAACTTTTTTTCAAGTACTTTAAGCATAAGTATTTGTGACCGTAGTGCTCAGTTTCTAGTAAACTGTTTTGAAAAAATTTTTATTTTAACAAACAATAGCGGATTTAATTCAATCTACATGTTTGCTTGTAAGTGAAGAGGGACGGGAAAGAGAAGAAGCGGAAAGGCAGAGAGCAAGAACTAACAGGCGAAGAAGATTCATGAGGAAAATTTATGCACTATCTGAGACTTGTTTTCGGATAGCTGAAGCTGACAGAGTTTTGTGTCATCTTGTGATTTTTTTTACCTGTCTTTTTGCACTGGATCTACAAAATGAAATACAGCCACTTTCAACATTCTTTTGTTATTTTTGGCTGGCTTCGTTATCGAGTTGTGGCTGAGAAATGCGCCGCTAGACAAAAAGAAATCGGAAATCATAGTTTTCAAAAATAAGCTACTCTTAGTACTGTAAGCTTACTTCGCCTTGTTGGACTGTGCGAAAAGTCTTAATTACTTGATCGGTTTCCGAGCTGCATCTCGACCGGTAAGCTTGAGTAATTATATTGCATTTGATGTTTTTTTTTTGTTGTTGTTGTCTTTTTGTTTTTTCTGGTCTCATGTTTATGCCGTCATTTTACGCCCATTTGTAAGATTTGAGACATTTTATCTCAGTGACCTAGTAAGTTATTAAAGAACTTAAAAAGTCTTTAGACTTTTTCTGACCGCGACTAGAAAGTAAACGTTCTGAGAAAAAAAATTAGTTATCCTATTTTTTGTAAAAAGAAAGCCTTGAGAGATGTTCCTGCCTGGAGTTCACCTTGAATGATAGCAAACACGGCGAAGGTGGCTTAAAACTTAAGGCTTAAATCTGCAAGGTTTTACTCGTGACTCAGGATATTCAGAGACACTTCACTCTCAATACACGTCTTCGTAAATAAAAAATTGTAGTCCTATTAAATGTTTCGTTGAATAATATTTTTTGTCTTGATTGTTTGTCAAGATATCGATGAATCGATCTGATCTTTCTTATCGCTTTGCTTATTGTTATTTTCAGTCGTCCGTGAACATCGCATGCAGGAGTACTTAAAATGCCGCGTATATCAAATTAATATGGCGTTTTAGAAGTAAATGCAAACGAAAATGATTCTGAAGACGTCTTCCTCATTACCAGCGTTCATTCAAATACTCGACAGCTTGCATTGTAAGTTTTGGCGCTTGGAAAAAAATTAGAATTGGCTGGTCGGAAGGGTGATTTTGTAAACTGAATTAAAATATATAAGTTTTTGCTCAAAGCCCATTATTACCCTGCGTACTACATAATGGCAAATTGACCTGACTGAACAGTCCCATCTAATGGTGAATTCTCTATATAAATTACTTTTTATGATGTTATTTTTATAATTTGTTGTTCAAGGGAAGCGCGTGCTTCGATCGTCCTGAATATTGAATGAGTGCAATTTGTCTTGTAAGATTATTCTGTAAAAAACTGCAGAATTATAATTAAAATAGGGAAAAATGTGACATAAATTCTGTCCGAGGTCTGAAAACAAACAACGCCTGATAGTTGTGTTTACCTGAAAGATAGTGTAAAAAGACTGGTTTACGCGTTACCAGACTTATAGCGAGCCACACACATAAAAAATCCGGCCTGATTTTTTATTTCGGCCTTTCATTTAGACAGCGAGATAACACCTATAAATTATAACGAGTAAATTGGCTGCCACCGGGGACTATCGTGCCTTTACGGCCTTTATAGCATAAAATTATATAGGTGGTTTTGAGTGGGCACAAAGATGATTTTGCTTGTTATTGTCCACGCCTAATCTACTGTGACCAAAGGTGATTTCTATTTACTAGGTGTAGGCCAAATAAGACTATTAACTCGAAGTAAGATTTTAGTTGTTGCTTCATTCTTGCACTGTTTGGAAATTATTTTTTCCCTAAAGTCACCCAGCCCCACCCTTAAACGTCATATGGATCTCCCCAGTTTGATTTGAATTATAAATTTATTAGCTAGAGCTACGCTTTTACCCTGGCTAAATGTATATATCATTTCTTTGGTAAAAGTATCCTCAGAGACCCAGAGGCGGTCAGTTGAGTCAGGAAAAACGGCGGCGACAGTTTTCAAGAACGGGAGAGAGAGCCACTGGGACTACTCTTGACGACCAGTTTCACGACTTATTCGAATGTTTGTCTGTGATTTGGCAGACACACAAAAAATAATTTTTTGCCCTTCCAGAGGCCGGCATCTATCGCGTTGCTGTCGCGATCTTCTTATATCAGGAAGTTTAACCGCAAACTCAACTGTTCGCCATACATGTTTCGCTCTTGGCGGAGAGCTTTCTTCAGCGAAAATGCCCGGAACCCACCAAACCAAAGAAATTCTGTAATACTCCGATTCCAGAAAAAAAAAAAAAAAACAGAAGTTGCATGGAAGTGGGGCATAAATGGCCCTTGCGGCAAATTAAAAATAACTAACACGGAGGACGATCAAGTCGATCTTACTCCAGGGGACATTCCCGGTGCTGGCTTTAGTGAAAAAAAGATAGAAAAATTGACGGTTGCTCAACTACAGTTGGTTAAAATGCCGCCGTATAAATGTCAATGGTAATAAGAACGAACTGTTTGAAAGGTGTATATCATCCGGCTTTGCGCTATCGATCAGCTGTTTGTGCTGTTTATTTTCAACTACAAGTTTACATAGAAGGTTAGACACATGTTTTTATATATAAAAAAAAAAAAACGTGCTTTCTGAGGATCAAGAACCTGCAAGCATTGGAAATCTAAAAAGATATGATCCTGACCCAGAGAGGATCTTCACCATATAAAGCAAAGTTAGCGAGACAGATTGACGAGCTGAGGGAAAATGGGGAAACCGCAAGCGATTATTTAAATTATTCTAGATGCAGATTATCTACGTGTAGAAAGAAATTGGGCAATTGGGATTGTTACTCCGCCTGGTGAAGATGCTGTTAAACTCAATCTCCAGTAAACGAGCATTAAAACCACAAGGTACCTCCCCCGAGAATAGGTTTATTGATCCCCCGGGTGGGGGGGAATCCCTTACTCAAGCCATATAGGTATCTGGCGCCACAAAGGGTATGGTTTTTGCGCCGTTTTGGTCTGAAAACGGTTACAGAATTTGCCCACTTTGGTCTGGAATCGGGTATAGTTTTTGAAGGGAGCTACGGTAGTGTATGAACATATTTGTCGATTGGTTCCAAATGGATAAGAAATAAACCCATAATATGCGAGTTCGAAGTGAATTTTAAGAAATCTTTTTGTTGGCGTTCTCGTCATACCATTTTGACCATACTCAACTGCATTACAAAGAAAAATCCACGTCTTTAATTGTAAAAAAACTTCGCTCTCCCTAATTCTTGCTTTGATTTCCCAGCTGCCGCTTTGGTTAGTAGGATAATGTCTGGGGTAGAAAGGACTGATGATGACTCCTGAAAGCTCATTCAAGGCTGTCAATTTTTATTTGGACAGACTGTAAAAGAATATTACACATATCTCTTGATCTCTTGGAGTATATTTTGAAAAATATTCCAAACATTTTTTTTGAAGCATTAAGACGGAATCCATCAGGAAATTGAGTAATTTCAAACTTCAGTGGACAAAAACCTTGTATCAGGATAATTTAAATAATACCTCATTCTTTTTTTTACATTTTTTCAAGGGCTATAGATATAATTCATTATCTGTTATTTCTCATGGGAACCCGAGAAAATAAATGCCAAATCTCATAAAAATTGTGAAAACACAGGTAAAATGCTGAAAATTTCATGCGTAAGATGTCATTTTGTGAAATCTGACATTCGTTTTCTTGGGCTCCCATAAGAAATTTTCTTTGGTGTTATTACAAATAACTAAATATACTTACATCTATAGCCCTTGAAAAATGTAAAAAAGAATGGGATATTGTTTAGTTTTTTCTGGTGCAAGGATTTTGTCCACTGAAAAATAAAAGTACTCAGTTTCCTGATGGATTCAGTCTTAATATCTTGATAAAGCAGATCTTCCACTTCTCCTCTTAATATTTTTAAGGGCACTTCTTTTACTGTCGTCTCAATATCCCAGAATCCATCTGAAAACGGCTTAGTGTATCAGCTTTAATGAAATACTAAGATAGATATAGTTGTCATGTATGACTTATAAGGGGACTTAAATACAATATACCTCTTACTGGCAAAACATCTACGCTTTTTGCCATCGATTACGAATAGTACTACAATACGTTTCTAGCACGAGTTTATGTTATCCCGTATTTCTTGGTCATTTTAAGGCTTTAAGCCACTGTATTTTCGGTAATTTGATCTTTCTTTGTTGACTCTGAGCCTTAAAACTTCAAATTGGCGAAAGAGATCTCTTTGGCTGACAAAATTGTCATCTCCACGTAGCAACTGATGATTTTAGAGAGCATCAGACTTGCGTACAAGTAAGGACAAACTTGAAACACACGTATACCTGAATGCAATATCTTGTTCAGTTTTGCCGACCCAAACGTGTTCCCTTTGGCACTTCGTTATTCATCTTTTGCTCTTCTACATTTTCAAGCAGTAATACGTCAATATTTTCTGATTAGAATCAATTTTTTGGTGGCCTGTAAAGTACCGAAATTGCCTGATAATGTGAGATCGACCTCGCTCCATGAAAAGTAATTGTTTTTGTTTGTCTGTTTATGGCTGTTGTTTCCCTCCATGAAAGGTATCTATTCGGGATACTCGAACGGTGAAACAATTTGCTTGTGGAATGCGGAATCCTGGGATTTGGAATTTGTGATTCTACTCGAAGAATCCGTAATCCTACTTATGATTGGAATCTAACTGCCACTGACATCCGGAATCCAGTACCTGGAATCAGAATTCACAGCGTTTAATCCAGAATTCAAGACTTTCTTGGATTACCTCATATGTAGCGAGATGTTGTTGGTAACGTTTTTTTTTTATCTTACCTCGATCATTGATGTCTTATAAATAATGTATACCACCTACCTGAACTATACGTGATAGCCGTGTAAGTTGCATTAAACCCTGGGTATTGACTGTTCAGAGACGTGAATATGACTCGAACGGAATTCCCCACTGAGTACACTGGATCAGGAAGTTTCTGACCGCACAGCATAAACGGCTGATACCCATCATCTGAAGCAACATTTGTGACTGTAACACGGGCTTCTGGAGCATCATAATAGCAAGGACTGTACTGATTTGGCTCCAATCGAAAATAGAAGAAGCTAAGTTTAATGATGTACCCGCTAGGAACTGTGATATTCCAGGTACATCTGCTGTACTGAGGGAAGTTACTTGGAAAATTTGGAGTTGAAAAGAATCCACTAAATCCATTAAGATATTCGCCGGAGGTACAAGCTGCAACAAGAGGAAACAAACTGTGATTTAGCTCTATAGTACAAAATTAAAGAGTAATCTGGCTGTAAACCAAAAAAAAAACAAAACAAAACACAAAAAAAAACTCAGTCGAAAGCATTGCAATAGATAAACATAAAAAAATAAGAGATTTTGCTACCAAACACTTTTAAAAACATCATACCAATGAAAATTGTTGGCATTTCATCGACATTTTAGTTTGTGTTGTGTTACTCTGTAAAGTATTTACATGCAACGGTTGCCATGACCTGATATAAGGCAATAATATTTTACATTCCTTGCTTGAAAATTGACAACCTGGTCGCCTGCACGTGCACCTTCAACTTGATTTGTGAAGGTGTTCAGCACATGTGTTGATGCGTTCAAAGCCGATTTCTAATAACTTACCGGTGGTTGTTGCATTATATTTCACTTTAATGTAGGTTGCCTTAAATCCACGGTACCGCCTGTAAGTAGTACCATTAGAAACAAACGTCACCCTCAGAACGTCTTTTGCCGAATGGTATACTATCCCACGGTCTTTCCAGTATCTACATCTTCGTCTGCCTGCGATGCCATCAGAGGAAGAGCCATTTTGTATTTCCAGGTAATCACACGTGCAAGATGAACCACAGGTCCGAATATATATGTCTTTAATGACCAACACAATGCGTTCTCCTTTACTTGCTATAATTTTCCAGCTGCATTTCTCGTTAAAAGGATAACGCCTTGGATAATAAGGACTGGTAAGAACTCCTGATGTCTCCTTCAGGGTTGCCATATTGGGACAGACTGTAAGCAATATAAATGGACCGACCGTAAATATCGAGGACAATTAGAATTATCTCACTTTCAAGAAAGAATCTAGCTAACGTGGAAAGAATAAGAACAAAACCGAATGCGGGACGGAAGGACTAAATAATTTTGGGATGCACCCAAAGCTCTTTCTTTATCTGGAAAATCTTAGGGCTGACCATTAATCGAGATTAAAATTTCATCAAGCCAACTAAGAATTGACTTCATTCTTACGATGTTTTCAAAAATTGTCCGTTCCGTGACTTTGGTAGCCTGCGTAGCAAGCGTTTCCGTTTGGTTTCGGAGCAAAACGAGACCGTGGAAGGGGAGTTTCAGTTTTGATCGCGCGAGAAATTAAACGAGAACCAAAAAAAGTACTTGCGCCATTTTTCGCGTGGTCTTTGACTCTTGTTTCTCTTTCTTTGCTCCTTAACCGCACAGAAACGCTTGCTACACAGGCTATGACTTGGCCTTGTACGCCTGCGCTTACTCTGGCTAAAGAAAGGCCTTGTCAGGACGGTGAAAAAAGTTCAGGTTGTCTCTTTTTCGTTGTGAAAGCCCATGTGAACAACAGCTACTTTAGAAAAATAATCTACAATAGTTAAAGTGGTTTTTAAAGAGCCAGTGAAACGGTTTGCTTTACCTTAAAAAATTAAGATCCATGTAGAATCCATGATACATGATCCATGTGGGAAGAATTCAAGCAAAGGACGGGAGATACTTTTGAACATCAATGATTTCGGCGAGGAAAGTCTCCCTCAAACTTAGAAAACTGCAAGGAATTGTTTTTCTTTAGCCAAGACAGGTCAAAGAGAAAAAGCCTTATTTGTTGCAAAAGCTGAATTATTCTGGATGCAGATTGGGTACGTATTTTCTACTCCGCCTGGTTACGATACTGTTATAATAATCGTTGTATCACAATGAGATTTTTAAAATAACGTACCTAATCTTGGCGAAACCATTGTTGAAGATGCAAGCAACACGGAAGACGGTGATGGTGTTTTAGTTGTCCTTTTATCTAATGCCAGAGAAGTACTCACTACGACAGATGACAAATAGCCTCGTTGTAAGCTGCTTGGAGAAATAGCTAAGGATGAAAACAGGAAGGAAGACACTGAGGGCAATACGGATGTACGTATACCTTGCTCCAAAGCCCAGCTCGAACTCATTGCGACAGGTGAAGATTCACTTCTGGATGGACGGCTTGAACGAGCAACTGATTTTGACACAACAGCCAATGACAACACCAGCTTAGACGACACCAACGGCAATGCGGGTGTGCTTAGTTCTTTTGCCATACCAGAGCTCAGTGCCACGAGTGACGAACTACTTATGGCCAAGGTACTTGAAAGAGAAAATTTTAAGGATGACATGGAGACAGAAGACAGTGAAGGTACTGCGACTGTATTTTGGCCTGCCACATTTGAATTCACTGAAACATCCAGGACACTATTCGCCTTAGTGCTTGAGGATAACACCACAGCAGATGTCATCAACACCCAGGTACATGTGACTGTTAATTAAAAGACAATAAACATCATTTCATGATACTGTTTTCAATAAAAAAAAAACCCAGCTAAAATTATATATTTAAAACGGGTTTGTCACGCTGTTTGCTATCCTTTAAATGCTAATACCTGAACTCGCATCAATAGAACGGTCCAGCTTTCTTATTTTAGACTATTTTTAAGCATTGAAACCGTTTGCTGTCGTCTGTTGCAAAGGATGGCAAAGATGCCCCATGGATGAAAACGGATTGAGACAATGTTGGCCCCACTTTTTGAAGTTTTCTTTTAACGCTATGCCTGCAAAAATCACCCAAAAAATTGTGATGGGTAATGCTGCCTGCTGAGATTTGCTTGATATCTTTGTTATATCTGTAACTCAGGAAAATATTTGTGACTTAACCCTTTCACTGCCAGAGAGCTTGATGAAGTTTTGTAAGGTGAATGTAACTTTCGGGTCAGCGGTCAAAATCCTATGTTGTGGCCACTCAAATGAAAGCTCTCTGTCTGTACTTTCACAGAATGCTATTTCTTTTTCAAAATTTCACAAAAGGAAATTTGGAAATTTGGTCAAAATTTGCTTTTGCTAAATTTGGCAGTAACCACATAATTGACCAAAAACAGCAACATCCTTGTGACATAGCCCCTTTTAGTACAAGTGATAAACCCGTTCATTCAGTTGAGTAAAACGAAGAAACAAACAAAATAAAACAAAAAAAGCGACTTTGAGTATTTCACCTACACTACATCAATTGCAGTTGTTCATATAACTTACTTAAGAGTAGAAACAAACCACGAATCCATCGCATTTCCATACCTGAGTAGAGAACAATTCAGTGATACAACAGACTAATTAAAACTTTAAAACGTTTTTATGACATAGTTCCGATATTAGTATTGTCATTGAATTTTAAATTGTTGTCACAATGATTTTATAGTAGACATCCCAATGGACATCCATGTTATGGTCAATTGACAGCTGTCAAAAAGAGCATCCGCTCACAAGTGGCACCTGACTGTATTGCGGACTCAAGTGTACAACTCGTTGAGGTGACGTGTTTTTTTAAGTTATCCGCTGGCCAGTTGTTTGTTTTAATTGATCGAAGGCTCAGGTCCATCATGAAAGGCTATGTAAAAAATAACTTATTAACCTAGTCCGTCGCTATCGTACAGTCAATACATCTGACTCGGTCTGAGATTTCCCTGTAATGACCTCACTCTCGGTTAATAATTAGTATTTATTGTACCCCTCAGCCTTGGAACCAGGTATGAATTTTAATGATTCGGAACTGGACTATACGGAGTGTTAACGAGGTAATCGTTTACGTTTTAAAGACGTAAATACAGTAAAAACCCGCATATAAGAATCTAGTAATTAAGAACCTACAGGTTGAAATTTGGCATTTAAATACCCAAAAATATATAAACCTGTGAAGCCTGGCAAAGAAAAATAGGTTCTTATGCAAAACAATAACTCCAATTATGATGGTCAAAATTGTCGACTTTCATTGTGTGAGAAACTTTTGACGAAAGGTTATTGTGTATATGTTTTCTTTGATTTACATTTGTTTGGATTTTCATTAGAAGTATGTTTTCCATGAAGCTACCGTGGAATACAGACAATTTAAAATCTTAACATCTCATTTAAAAAGTATAAAAATGTATTGATATTCTTCTTGGACCTTGAATGTTTGCCATTACGTATTCGTGGTACAATATTTCTGCCAATGGTTACACTATGACAACCTCTGAAAAATAAGAACCCTTTATGAAAGGTATACCTTCTTCTGGCTTCAGCTGTAGGAAGTGGTAGGGATTTCATTGGTTGAAGTGTATGAAAAGGTAGGGAAATAAGAAATTTGTGAATCGGTCTGTGAAAGGACCAAAAAGGGCTGACAAACGCATTTTATGGATGTGAAATTAAGAGACGAGAAAACTTCCTGGTTTAGTGATTTATTTATATTAAAAAGACGGTGAATTTACAGCAGTTAAAAGGGAAGCATGTGAAAGGGGTACCATTTCTTAGTAGAAGGTATACATATTAGGTATATTTTCTGTCAAAAAATGGTCAGTTTATAAAAAAAGGGTAAGTGGTTGGACCTCGGAGTGGAACTTCCCCGTATGAAATTTTCTTGAGTGCCCCCTCCCTCCCCCGCCCGGGCTACTCAAATGCGAACAATACATAGTTGGAAGCTGGCGCGCAGCAATTTACTATGCATGTTCATAACGTCAATGAAGAAATATGTACGAGATAAGTGTGCGCCACATAAATGTCACCATTTTTACATACTACCACGCATTCGCCGGAGCTCTTCAAGCGTTGTTTTGTAAATAGATGCCTTTTTAACTTCATTTAGTTTAATGCTTGAAAGAAAACCTGTTTTATTGCGTGGTAAACTTGCACGTGTGCATGGGATTGTTTGCTTTAATCTATCAATAAAGATCTTCAAGAATGTCCGCTCGGCCTAACAAGTGCTAACTCATTCCAAGGACCCAGATTTTGAATACGTTTTTCATACATATTTTGAATGATAAAGTGACTGTTTGCACTCACTGAAACACCAAGAAACTAATAAATTCGATCGTTGTGTGCCCATTTAAATTTATGACATAAACTCAATATAGGATCCTTCGCAGTGCTATTGTTGGAAGTCTTGGAACTAACGTTGTTTACCTTACGCTCATCGTATCAAGCTTAATCATTCTATTGCCAATTAGAAAGCAACTCCAGCCCTAAAGTTTTAAAGATTTTACACTATTTCGTATCTAAGCTATTGATTGCTCACATTGAAGGCGTAAATATGAACGATAGAGCTCACCTCTTGTTTGAGCTTAGTGGCTTCGCATTTGTTGAACTTTAACGTTACGCTGAAGTGCTTCCCTCCACTGCGAAAGCGTAAGTTATGCACATTGACTTACGTTTGAGTTAAAGATATCTTCTTTTACCTCCAAATCGTAGAACTCTTGGTAAGCCTCGATAGTTTTAGCCTGAGAAGCTGCTCCTAAGCTATTCTAGGGTAATATCGAGCAGACGTCTGGAGCCAAAACGACTGCCCACCCATCGAACTTTTAACAGCAGTCCACAGGGAATTGCGAAGAAGCCGATATTCTTTGTTGTTGTTCTGTCGACCATTATACTCAAAGATGACAGTCAGGCTCAGTTTTTCTTTAACTTCACTGATATGCCAAAAAAACAATCTTTGATCAAAACTACTAAGGTAGCCCAAGCGTAATTTTCGCCGGCCACGGCCACGGCTGCTCCTACAACTGTTGTTAGGTTAACGTGCCATAATTTCTGGAGCTCATTAGCTTTAATACAACGAAAAGACTTGATTGCTCTTAAGCAAGTTTTTTTTTTCCGTTTAGATTTTTATCGGATTACTGTCGTTGGTGGCCTTTTTCGATTGCGATCTATTAATAGACTAACTACAACATCCCAAAAGAGATACAGCAATAAAAAAGAAAATCAAATAACAAGTCAACCATACTGAATTCTTTGGTTATGAGTGCTAGTTTTAGTTAGCACTCAGTGTCACCTATGAGTTGGGTCCAATGAGAACGTCAAAAAGCATTAGGTTCAGACCCCGTCCACAAGTATCCCGATATTTTTGAGAACTGAGTTTTTTTTTAACGTAGCGTATTCGAATCGATTTAGCCCATTCACTCGAAAACGCGAGCGCCCAGTGGCCAAATTTTTGCAGTGACAAAGAGTTAAAATTGCGCATATTGTCGAGTTCGCCACTTCAAATTTTCTCACGTTAAACGATTTTTTTCACTCCCTAGGATTAAATTGGTCCTTGAATGATGTAAAGCACACAAATTTGATCTTTCAAACACAACTCATATCTACTAAATATTTTTTGATTTACACCCATTTTGCCGTAGGCGGGAAAGGGCTCAAAACTGCATATTTTCATCCTAGCTCTGTGCAAAATCCCCACATCTTCTAAACAACATACTTTTTCAGAACATAGAAACATAAAAATATGTTGTGTTTAAGCGATTTATCAGCGCAGCCGATCGACGATATATATGCCTATCTTCTGTCATGACTGTTTACAATACACGATGGAAGGTCTTAATGGAAAGCCGCAATAACACAATAATTCATTAAACGTATCAAGTGTTTTAAACTTTCTATGACTTTTAACATAATGGAAAATTATTTAGGAAAGGAAATCCTTTAAGCCAAACTCATTAATACTACAGGTGTACCTGTTTACAGCGCTTCGATCCGATCGAGTCGTTATTCCTGTGTCTGGAGTCGTTACGATGCGAAAACATTTCTTGCTAGCCTGACTAAAATTGACAGGAAATTATCTTATCAATAGATTATTCTATTATATTTATTGCCGTTTTCGTTGACAAGCTACCAATCAAGAATCATGCATGCATAAGTGCCTAGTCCATTAACAATAGCAACTTTTAGTTTTCCATTCAGGCTAACATTTATAAAATAATTGGTTGTCGCTATAGCTTTCACTTTGTTTTGTTTTAAGTTTATTGTTTATGTTTGCATTTATTATTTTTTAAAAATATATTTCATATTTCTGGTAGCCCGTGGCATTAAACCGACGAGTGCAACTGTGGGGCTGGAGATGGGGGCAGAGTGTTCTTGCTGGAAGGAGGCCCGCTAGACTGTTCTCAGTCCTCTATTTTTCCGTGAAGTCATCGGGATCAAGCACATTCTGTAACAGGTGGCGATCTTGGTTTCAAAGGTACCGGGTTTATTAAATACAGCAAAGAAGACTGATACAGTAGAGTTTTAAAAAAAGTATTTAAAACTTTTTTCAGGCCAACTAGCTGGACCTAGCTCGGTACTGTTTCGAGCAAAGTGTTACTCTTTAAGGCAAGGCAAATAAATTATAGCTCACTTTGATCCGTGCCGCAAAGGCTTAAAAGCTGAGACTGATAGGGAATACCTATCATAGTTGAAAGGTTTCAAGGAGGTATCCCCTGGAGGCAGTGGGGAATACTCAACAAAGCTGTATACAGGGAGGCTCAATCCCGAGGTCCAACTCCTTACCCTTTTATATACCGTTTTTGAAAGAAGAAGGTACCCCTTTCGGGCGGGACCTCTCCGTATAGGCCACTATAGGGAGTACCTCCCCCGAGAAATACGAAAAATTGTCAACGGGTTCCTCCCCTCCTTTTCGTCCCCTCAAACGTTTTGATTCATAGTGAAGTTAAAAAGAACCCTTGAAACGTTTGTGTTTGTACACTTTAGTAGAAAATACTTTTATGCCCATGCTACTACCAGAAAAAGAAAAAGAACTGCAGTTCAGATCAATATCCATGTTAATGTTGACAAAAGTGGTAGAACTTAAAACTTTCCATAGAAAGTGGAAATCACAACGAGTCCTAATTGCATTCTAAAATTTACTTATCCGCAGTTCAGTATTACTTTGAACACACGAACAGCAGTGTAAAAGAGATAAGTTAAACTATTGGAATGTGATCACACACTGAGAGTAAATGCCAAGAAAAAATTGAGATTTAACTCGGCGTTCTTTGAAACTGCTACAAGATGCTGATTCCCAAATGAAATTTTCCGAGGCTTTTAATTGTATTTGGCAAAAGAGAGTATTGCGTTCATCTTGGTGTCAGCATGTTTTATTTAATAAATGCTAATATTTACAGTGCATTTATAATGGGATCCATTTCAATAGCTGTATTGACTTTTTATAATTCATAGACGGTAAACGCTGCAAAGACCAATCCTGTACAGCCACTTGAATTAGTGCCTGGAAAGGAAAACGTATGGGTGACTTATGCTATCAAATATCACTTACATTGAAAAAGCTCTCAAAGGTTTCCGTTTGTAGCCCCTTTCACCCTTAACCATCATAGGGTCGACGAGATCCTAAACGTATAATGTGATCCTCTCTAGTGGACAGGTGTAAATATTAATGTATGCCCTAACAACGGGAACCTCAGAACAACTTTAGACATTGAGCCTTGGTACGCCACACCCATTTAATATTTCATGATATACATTACACTACGTCTCAAATGAAACTAGCTTGCCCTTGTTCCACTTTTCTGCTGCAGTACAAAGGCACCATTTGCTCAGAAATGCATTGATTTGCTTCTCAAAATTGTACTGGTCACAAACAACACGAGTGATTTTTTTTTTCTTACCTGACCTCGAGCATGAGTATATCAACTACGAAGCGTAGTGGTGGCTGAGTTAGTGAACCATGCCAATGCATCACACTGTCAAGATCTGTCAATTCTGCAGACTTCAAGTTTTAATTGTTTCCTACCGATACCAAAAAAAAAACATAAAAACAAAAAACAATTCCTTAGTCAGGCATGACTGACTGAAAAGACGTCTTAGAAACGATTACAGAGATTCCGTACTGATGAAAGATCTGGGTAGTACTTATGATTGGCTGAAGAAAATTTCCCTCACGGTTCGACCAATCAGAATCACTACCTAGATCTGGGTAGTGACACATTTCTGCAGTCGTTTCTCAGACGTCATTTCGCGCGGGGAAACCAGTCGTGGCGTCCCCAAATGTCGGCTGTTTTCTCAGGCTGACATGGCCGCGTGTTTACCCTTCTGCATTTTCAGTGCAGAATCAAGATACTTAGAGCGAGACGCTATACGTACTCTTTGCAAACCGCCTGTTGTTATGCATGGCATCAATTTAAATCCACTCTTTGTAGTAGATAGCTGCGAAATCTCTTGCTCGAGTAGCACGCCACCATCAAAACCCCTTTTTGCGTGCCTTTCACTTAAATGAATGCGTCATCCCCACAATCTGATAGCCTAGAACAGACCACCTTAGAAGAACGCTCACCTGTGTCTTGTTCAATACTCCCTATTTTAAGCGATCAGGGAAAGTGTAAAATTTGTAAGTGTTCGCAGTCTCCTTTTAATCAGTTTTCGTTCTCAATCTTATCTCTTTTCTTGCGCCTCAAAACTGGACCGAACTATACGCGAAAGGATGTGGATCAGAAGAGAATTTTGAATCCTTATTTTGAACAGCTTTTTTGCCGAATGCCGTCGCGCCTGCCAATTATCTCTTTCTCGATATCTATGACAACGATGCTCCGATTCTCTAGTTCACTGTACATCGCCCCTACAAAAAATGAAAAAGGATAGATTAATGTTAGGAAATAGGTATACTTTAATTAGTAATTTTAAAACTATTTGAGTTTCCTTAATTGGAAACTCCAATCTAAGCCGTTTTTGTGGTATGGAGACTTAAATCTAAATCAATGTCCGACTGATTTGAGCTTCCTTTATTTGAAAACTCCAATCAAAGCCGTTTTTGTGGAATGGAGACTTGAATCAAAGTTTTTTGTGCAGTAATCAAAAAAGCTTAAATGCAAGATGACTCCACCATATGATCTTGGATTTTAAGTCTTTACCACTTGATAAATAGACTTAATAAACAAGATTTCACTTTATCGAGCTTAAATCTACATTGAGCTTTCAAACTGGATTAAAAAATGGAGTGAAATCAAACTTACACTGAAGTAAAAACTCACTACTCCGGAATCTGAAAAGTGGAAACTTGTATTGAAAGCCTTTTACGTCACAAGTATAGGTTCAATACAAATTTCCTCAAAATTCGCAGTAAATGTAAATGCATGGTTTTCAGTACTTTTTCTTCCTTCTCATTGCAAAGTCTCAAAAACCAGCTATCTAATAAGGCGTAATTCCAAGCTTCTGAGGTTTGAAATTCTTGCCCTGTGTTTTAGAGACTGACAGAAATCGATACTTTTACCAAGACCGTAAGAGTATCAATTCAATCGTTTTGAACTGAGAAATAATGTTTTCCCAAGATGGATTATCGGAAGCAACATTAACTCGCAGTTAACAGTAGTATGGACATAAATAACCCGTGATCTCTATCTTTACGTGATTTATTCAAAAGAAGAAATCACATTATTTCACTGAGGTGCCTGGCACCTATTCGACGTCAACAGTTATCTGACAGGAAGAAAAGAAGGAAGTCAAACCTCTGTGTGCAAACACCAAAAACAACCAAGACTTTCTCAATCAAAGTCCTGTGATTAAAACCTCCTGCAAACGATCACCTCTCCTTAGCGACCGGGACAGCGGTCGACGGTTTTATAATTTTCTTTTGTTTTTAAACCTGTCGTAAGCCCACTATGGTTGATTTCTTTGGTCGCCTGTCACTGCATGCGAAGAAATTTGAGTGACAACATGGAACTACAGAACACATATCGTAACTTCTCTTCTAAAAAGTAAAGAGGGTAAATTCTCTTCCAAAAATAGATGTGTCCGGGCCTCTTTTACAAACAGTCCACCATGGTCGCTTACGGGAGGATCGACAGTTTTTACATAGCGTTTAACTAAACTTAAAAAGAAGCCCATTTTTTTCCAATACATTCAAGTTCTTTGAACCCCCTGAGAGACTTACGTGTGGGTGTTATTTCGGAGTCAGTGGTGCTTTGTGTCCCTGCTGGAAGAAACCAAAATTATAATTAATAAGAACTCTAAATTGGAGTAAAATCAGAAATTTTCTTCGGTACAACTTTATATACTTTAATCTTTATAGGATACTTACTTGCAGGTGTTACTTTTGTTCTGGTCGTTTGTGGTAACTCTAATAAAAAAAAAACAACAAATAAACAAGCAAAACAAAAACAACGTGGAATTAGTTTGTATTTCTGGCCCCAGTTGTTCAAACGTTGGATGGCTATCGCGCTCCCTGGTGAAAAACTTTTTAAGATCTTTAAGGGTCCTTGAAGATCTGCACAAGCATCTTTTGAGGACCTTATAAAGATCCACAAGGATCTTAAGACCGGTTGTTTAAAAGGTGGATCAACGCTATCCAGTAGATAAATCACTATCCTGTCCACTGTATAGTGATTTATCCAGTGGATAGCGTTATCCACCTTTTAAACAACTGGCGCCAGTACGGCACCACCAAGGCTCTGTCCACATCTATCTCTGTTTTGTTTGAATTAACGGATATTTTTTTTCCGGTTTGTCCTACCGTCCACACGTATGTATTCGGTGAAAACTGTCACCGAAAATGCATCTTTTCAAAAACGTTCTCCAGAGTGGAGATTTTTAAAAAAGCCGGCTTCTCGTTTACGTGTGGACGGACGAAAACGGAGGTTTTCCAATACGACGATGTCATACATCATGTTCTTCTAGCATGACGCATGCTCCGTAAGGGATGCTATCGCTTTTCCTTCGTTTTAGCGTTTTTCTGTGGATAGCCGAAAACGATTCGAATACGCTAAGTGTGGATGGGTAGTTTTTTTTTCTTGAAAACGGAGAAAAAGATCTCCGTTTTCAAAAAAATCCGGATGCGTGTGGACGGGGCCTAAGATTCAGATATTTTTCTTTGTCGTTATCGTGACATAAATGTCATGGCTTCTCGTTTATTCACCAAACTTCATCACTAGAATGTAAGAAGCAAAAGCACTATTGTCTTCCAAAAATGCAATCTCAACAATGGGCAAAGTTTGATACGCCGTTGACGCATTCAGCGTTGCGGACGGACGTTGTTCCGCTGACCGAACTCAACCTTCAACTTCTATTAGCCAACCGATAGTGATCGCATGTCCTCAGCAAGCTTGAAAGAATCACATGGCACTACAGAATACATATCGTAACTTCTCTTCTTCTCTTCGTTTTAGCGTTTTCGTATGGATGGCCGAAAACGATTCGAATACACTAAGTGTGGATGGGTAAGTTATTTATTTTTTTCTTGTAAACGGAGAAAGAGATCTCCGTTTCCAAAAAATCCCAATACGTGTGGACGGGGCCTAAGATTCAGATATTTTTCTTTGTTGTACTATCGTGACATGAATGTTATCGCAGACTTGTCTTTATATATTTACCACACGTCATTACTACAATGAAAGAAACAAAGGCACTATTGTCTTCCAAAAATGCGACCTCAACAATAGGCAAAGTTTGGTACGATGTTAACTCAATCAGCGTTGCGCACGGACGAAAGTTTTTTCGCTGGCTGAACGTACCCGTCAACATTTATTAGCCAACCGACAGTGATCGCATGTCCTCAGCAAGCTTAAAACAATCACTGAATTGTTGCCTGCGAGGAAAAAACTATATTTTAGATTTCGGTGGAATGAAGATATTACTTTATATTATGTTTATCAGCAGTTTTCGTCAACGCTTTAACCATGAGCGTACATTCTATGTTTGGCAAAACTGTAAAGTGGCAAAATAGCAAAAACTAAGAAAAACTGGTAAGATCCAGATAAGGAGATTCCAGAATCAGTGGGCCGCCCACCTACCCTCCCCTAAACCAACATTTTTCCTTAAGTGAGAAGTAAGTATTAATGTTGACTTAGGGGAGGGGTAGGTGGGTAGTTTCCAAGAAACGTATAATGGTCCATTTCTTCTTGGTGCGGGATGCTGTTAAGGGGTGTAAATTGAACATTTTAGGCTCACTTATAGTTTTCGGGACTGAAAACCAATATTTCAACCATACAGTTGTCGTTAAGGGCTGTGAAAGAATTCTCCCATTAGAGGGTTGATTTGTGGGGTAGGGGTGGGGGGAGGGGAAGGGTGGCAATACGCTAGAACAGCTGCCGTTCATTTTCACCATTTGAAGGCAAGCAATGTGTTCTTTATTTATTTCATCGATGAATGCCAAATGTGTTATCCGCAGAACGAAAAGGAAACTAAAACAAGAAAAAAACAGAAAGAAGGAAAAAGTGTACCTGGCGTCGTTGGTGTCGATGATACATATCCGTTGCCACAGTAACGTGACAAAAATTTAGTTAACGGCCTTAGTTGGTAAACGTAGAAGCCTCCACAGTTACGGACTCTGATGTAAGTCGACAAACAACAACAGCCATCGAATGGGTAACAACTGAAACACACTCTTCTTTGAACAGCTCCGTCGTTTACTGTAGGGTGACTTCCATTGAGCCAACCAGGGTGCCATGTGCCACAACGATCCATATCAACACAAGACTCTGCCATTTGATTTCCAGCTGGTCCACTAAATCTGTACCAGTCGGTCGACAGCATATCATCACATTGATAATAAGATTCATTATATGTTTTCGATCTGCTGGTCTCGTTAAGAACTTTGTAATTGTAACATTCTGTGAAAGAAAGGAAAACGCCGTGTATCACAATCTGTTTAAAATTCTTGTCTACTTGTTCGGTCTCCTATATAAGCCATAGTTGCTTATATAATTTTCTTAAAAACTGCTTGGTGTTTAAAAAATAATTCTTATTTTGCTGGAATATGTAATTTCATCGAAAAACAAGGCATAAACTTTTGAAAATACATGGAAAAACGCATGAAAATACCTCTGCCAAACAATGAAAAAATACGATTGTTGTTGTTGTTGTTGTTTTGTTTTGTGCTAATACCTTGTGCGTATGGCGATCCGTTTCCACAGTAACGCAGATTGCAATGTGATTGCCGTTCAAGTTTGTAAACGTAAAATCCTCCACAATGCTGTACAGTTATTTCATTTGAATGTTGGCAACAGTTGTCAAAAGAGCTAAAACACACTTGGCGTCTAACGGCCCCATCATTTAAGTCGGGATGAGTTCCGTTCAGCCATCCAGGTGACTCCGTCCCGCAATGATACACGTTGACACAAGAGTCAGCCATTTGCGTTCCAGCCTCTCCATTAAATCTATACCATCCATTAAGATTTGCATCGCATAGGTAAGAAATGCTTCTGTTATATGTCATTGCTCTGTTGGACTCGTTGAGGGTTGTGTAGTTGGAACATCCTAAGAGAGGATTGAAAATGACGCAGCTATGTATCCTGAGTAATAGGCACTCCATAGCTTATTGGAGAGAGGAGATTTTAAGGAACGAGCACTTTCTCCCCTTCGCTTCTCTTCCCTCTTCTCTAGAAAGGCCTGAAACTCAGATCTTTAGGTCACCATGTGGGGTCTAAGTTAACTAGTCACCAACCAAAACATGACACGGAGAAAATGGGGTGTTTCCCTGACCCAGATGATAAGCAAATTGCCCAAATGTTAAAAGCAAGCAAACAAACAAAAGCAAAAACATAAAACAAAACTTATCGTTATCTGAATCCTAAGTGAAAGATGTATCCTTAGCTTGGCGTCAAGGTTTTCTCATTTTCACTTCCACAACAGGAAATAGGCAATATTTACTTACCGGATACACTGAAGTTTACTTGAGTATATGAGATTCTAAATCTATGCTCCCATGGTGTCCCACTGTCGGAGAAAAATAGTACTTTAATTCGCTCTTTAAACCAATCGTAGGTTACGTTGGCTGTTACAAAAGCGGCACATACACGCCATTTGGGACCATCGTAGCCTGAAATGGATCCACCTTGAATTTCCAAATAATTACACAAGCAAGACCATCCTCCACTGCACCACCAATAAAAATACATGTCTTCAATAGTAAATACAATTCGTTTTCCTTTTCTTGCCCTGATTTCCCAGCTGCAGCTTTGGTTATCCAAATAACCGCGTCTGGGGTAGAAAGGACTGGTGATGACCCCTGAAATCTCATTCAAGGTTGTCGTATTTGGACAGACTGTAAAAGAATATTACACATATCTCTTGGAGTATATGGCCTCAAACTCAGCCAGAATAAAGCCCTATGGGCCCTAGTTACAAAATCGTTGGTTTAAGTACGATCGAGTGAGTAATATTTTTTTCACGAATTTTTTTCTTCCCGAGGCCTAAAATGGGCAAAAATCATGCGAAATTAGAGTCATATTCAGTAACTCGTAAATTTTAAAATAAAGTTGGCAACTAAAATATAATGACACTTCGTATTTTTACTATCTTTCCTCTATAGTTTTAACTGATTAGTTCGCGATTTGGTCAACAAGAGATTTTTAAAGAAATTTTCAAAGTTGTTGACTCAAAATCGCTTAATTAACCGTCAAAATTTAGCAATTTTTCACGAGCTAAAAAAGCGGATTGGTACATGGCTTTGAACACCAAGGCTTGTTTAGTCTGAAAGAGCATTCTTTTTTCTTCAAATTAGCGAAATAAAATTTTTGGGTAAATGAAATCACGAGCGCTGACAAAGTCAAGCAAATGTAAATATTACACTAAAAACGGGCGAAAAAACGTGACCTCTGACCGAAGCACAACCAAATGCGAATTACGGTAGGCGCCAAACCTTTAACTTCTTGAGACAATATTGGTCCGAAATGTGTATAGATTTTTTAAATAAAGCTGAGTTAAAGTACTAAGTGTCAACAAGTCCACAAAGCGGTAAAAAATACAACAAAAGTCACGAGTAATCTGTTCCGTGTTCTGAATTTTACGCAGCGATTTATGCGATTTAACGAATTAACAATTTTAATCCAACGATACCCACCTGAGACTGTGTTAGTTTAAGAGTCCATAGAACGTCTCAGACGATTCCTCGGAAAGACCTCCAGAAGGAAATGAATGAAGAATTGGAACTTACAACTGTAACAATTTCACTTGCCGCCACGGCAATGAACGAAAACAACTGTCGAACTGCCACAGGCAAACCAGCTTTCAGTTGAGTCATGCAAAGCATGTCACGTCACGTAATTCTGCCCCGCGCATTTGGGAAGGAGGGAAGAAATTCTTCCACGCTGTGCCCTGAAACATTTATGAAATAAAACTAGTTTTGGACTGTTTCATCTTTGCCCTCGCTTGAGGGCAAAGGTGCCTCTTCCGCCGATATAATCTTGGACTTGATGAGCATCCGCACAAACGAAAAGTGGGAATTTTTTTTTTCATCTTTGATCTCAACAACGTTAGCCTCAATTTTCACATTTGACCTTCGCTTTATTTACAGACTGGTATAAATGGGAAAATATGACTACCCTGAAAATGCCATCAAGGAGGCTAAATGTTTGGTTGCCTCTTAGGCCAAATTCACTTCAGGGATCCGGATTTCTTGTCAGTGGAACTTGTGGAAGGCACAAATGTAATAACTGGACCCAAGTGTAATAAAGGTCTATCCGTAATAACATTTGAACCCAAGTGTAATAAAGGTTTCATCTGTCACGACTGAGATAATATGAGACATGTCCACAACAGCCTAAACATGGTTATCTTAACTTAAAAAGCTGACATCACGGTTCATGTGACCAAACAGAACTAGAAAAAAGGGAACGAGAAAAAATGCCATAGAATCTAGCAATGGCTCTCAGTTAAAGTTTTGGCAAATTTTTGCTATGAACCGTGCTTTAAAAGAAAATTCATCCCTCCAGAACAAATAAATATGTCATTCCGTTTGCTTACACAAAAGTGCCAGGCGAAACAATTTTAAACCCAGTGGACTGATCTGTTATTATTTTTTCCCCTCTGTCTTCTTGTCATTTTCACTATTTCACTCACGGCTGAATTTCATGACTGTCAGTACTTTGCAAAAAATAAGTTCGCGCAAATAAAAATTACCGCACAATTTTTTCCCGCAAAAACTTACTCCAGAGGAAATACTGTATGCTCTAACTTAAATTCACTACACAAGAATACAGTACATACAGTAGTAGTTTTTTAGAAAAATACTGACGAACACTTAGTATTGTTTGAAAATATGTATTTCTATTGCACGTACTAAATAAAAACGACAATATTAACAGTGCTGGGTACTAGGCACTTTCTGAAATCGCAAAAATTGATCCCCAGCAAGAAAAACCAGTCTGTCCTAACCGCAAAAATTAGTTCTCACAAAACACAAAAAACCGCTAATCCGCAAAAATAAACTCCCGCAAAAATTTCGTTCCACACTCCGTTAGAAAAATGACCGGTCGTTTGATCAACCAGGGCCAGGTCGTTATTTTTGGTTCCTTACTTGCGTCAGTTCAGGTTTATTAGACTACCTTTGTAATCACTGATTATGTTTATAATTATGTACTTTAGTTTTAAATTCAATTTTGGTAACGACCCCACAGTATCAGCCCACAACAAAGGTTCGTGTTCCAAACGGACTAATATCGGAAAAAATGATATCATGTGTTTTCGTTTGTTTGTACTGGCTTTCTTTTCTCTTTTCGCCGATCAGTTCCTTCGATTTTGTCCTTTCAACTTGTCCAAATCTTTTTTTGAGATCCGAATGTGGCCACTAGTTCACTGGCTTCCGAAGAGATCATTCCCTGTTGTTGGCTTTTAGTCGGGATGTTTCAACGCAAGGAACCAACGAACCACAGGAAACCGAATGATTAGAAAGGCTCGCAACAAATATGTCTGTTGTTCCTCTAGGATACACATGATCAAGCACAATTTTGATATTACATAAACAAAATTATACTGTTTTTCGTCCTACAAGTGAGCCTCTTAACTCGAAAAAAATTTATTTACTTGCACGCGTCAGCATAAGCTTTGATTGGCTCCGAACTCAGAGTAACATCTTTGCCAGGGGAGATCAGGAATTTTTCATTGGGGAGAAGGACCAAATTTTGGTTCAGAAAGGACTGTTGAACTTTTTTGTAGCAAATTACTTTTCCCCCACACTCCCTCCCACTAGTCACCGAGAAGGCAGAGACGACTACGTGTTTCTCAATCTGTGAAAGCCAGTCGCCACTGGCGCGGGAAATGCTGCTTTGCGAGCAGACACAAACGAACGGATCATTGGAGGGTAACCAATTACAATCACATTTTTTAATATCCCTGGAATTTAGTTTAGTGGAAAATTACAACACGCGTTTCATTAAAAAATTCAGCCAGTTAAACAGTGACATGCAATCCTATCGTTGTAAGGATTTTAGTCTCAAACAAGTATCGGGTCTGATGGGGGGTCCGGACCCCCCCCCCGCCCCTCCCCCTGGATCCGCCACTGCTATGGTGCCCTTTGATATCCTTTCTACAGCATTCGGTATAAATCCGAACACACCAATTGCTAGCTGTGGATGCACGTTCTGAACTTGAAACACAATCATTATAAACAGCAGATAAAATAAAAGAAGTGCACAGCGCCCCTCGAGCAAAAACAGGGGGAAAAGTTATTCTTTTCTTTAACTAGTTGCAAAAGATACATTCCAAAGCATGTTTTTTTTTTTTCATAAATGTTTTAGCGCACAGCATGGAAGAATTTCTTCCCTCCTTCCCAAATGCGCGGGGCAGAATTACGTGACGTGACATGCTTTGCATGACTCCACTGAAACCTGGTTGGCCTGTGGCAGTTCGACAGTTGTTTTCGTTTTGCCGTTGCGGCAAGTGAAATTGTCACAGTTATAAGTTCAAATTTTTCATTCATTTCCTTCTGGAGGTCTTTCCGAGGAATCGTCTGAGAAGTTCTATGGACTCTTAAACTAACACAGTCTCAGGTGGGTATCGTTGGATTAAAAATTGTTAATTCGTTAAATCGCATAAATCGCTGCGTAAAATTCAGAACACGGAACAGATTACTCGTGACTTTTGTTGTATTTTTTACCGCTTTGTGGACTTTTTGACACTTAATACTTTAACTCAGCTTTATTTAAAAAATCTATACACATTTCGGACCAATATTGTCGCAAGAAGTTACCGAACAATTAAAGGTTTGGCGCCTACCGTAATTCGCATTTGGTTGTTCTTCGGTCAGAGGTCACGTTTTCTCGCCAGTTTTTAGTGTAATATTTACATTTGCTTGACTTTGTCAGCGCTCGTGATTTCATTTACCCAAAAATTTTATTTCGCTAATTTGAAGAAAAAAGAATGCTCTTTCAGACTAAACAAGCCTTGGTGTTCAAAGCCTTGTACCAATCCGCTTTTTTAGCTCGTGAAAAAGTGCTAAATTTTGACAGATGATTAAGCGAAATGAGTCAACAACTTTGAAAATTTCTTTAAAAATCTCTTGTTGACCAAATTGCGAACTAATCAGTTAAAATT